GGAGCGCATTGGAGTGGTGCTCTGGCAGGAAAGAGCCCAGCAAGCCCCGCCCCCCGGCCTTCCCTGGCCTGCCTGCCTAAGCGGGCAGGCCAGGAAAGGCCTTTGAATGCCTCCCTGTGCCTTCCCCCGCTCGGCCGCCAAGGCGGGGTGGTGGCGGTGGGGGCTTGATCGAGTGGGGTGGGTGGGCCAAGGTTGGCCACTCTGGTGGGGGGGCTTCCTTCAGGTGGGGAGTGTGTGTGTGTGTGTCTGTCTCTGTGTTCCTCTGTGTCTCTCTCTGCCCCTCTCTGTGTGTGTCTCTTTTTGTGTGTCTCTCTGCCCCTGTGTGTGTCTCTCTCCCCCCCTCTGTTCATGTCTGTCTCTGCCCCTCTGTGTTTCTCTCTGCCCCTGTGTGTGTGTGTCTCTCTCTTTTTGTGTCTCTCTCTCTCTGCCTCTGTGTGTGAGTGTGTGTCTCTGCCCCTCTGAGTCTCTCTCTCTGTCCCTCTGTGTGTGTGTGTGTCTCTGCCCCTCTCTGTCTCTGCCCCTGCCCCTCTGTGTGTGTGTGTCTCTCTCTGTTTGTCCCCCCCCCCTCTGCCCCTCTGTGCATGTGTGTCTGTCTGTCTGTCCCTCTGTGTGTGTGTTTCTCTCTGTGTTCCTCTTTGTGTCTCTCTCTCTCTATTTGTCTTTCTCTCTTTGTCTTTCTTTGCCTATTAAGGTCAGTATTGCTTCAGAGGGGTGATGTCAAGGTGTGTGGCATACGCAAATAAATTATGCTAATGAGTTATGCTAATGAGCTTCTGCACCTCTTTTTCTACGAAATGACCACTGTCCTTTCCTAATGGATTCACTGCCTCTATGAACCTAATCCTCACCAGGAAGTTATCTGTCCATCAGTTCCCACATAACCATCTACCCACCCAGCAGTGAATACCAAATTCAGACTGTATTCTGCCCTATGTGTTGTGCCAATGACATTCTGGGGCAGTCCCATGGCTGTCATGGCAGCTGTGAAATCCTGAACTGCCTCCAAGAGGCTGGCCTTGCTGTGGATGCTGAAGTCCCCCAGTATCATCAGCCTGAGAATCGTCAACAGCTGATAAAGACAACCTCAGTCTGGGAGAAAGTTAGATGATGGAATGGACAAAATCCTTTAGACCTGAGTGTCTAGTACTAGTATGAACACTCAGAAATCTCTCCCAGATAGGGATCCTTGAGAGGACGATGGATTCCCAACAGATCACAGCAACCCTCTCTTCCATGCTGATGCATTACCGAGAACAAAAAGGACACAAATAGTATGATTTAATATCCCCTCCCCCCACTTCATCCACCTAGGCCTTGGTAATGCAAGCCAATATGGTGTGGGAAGCTCTGTGAATATAACTCTCGGTGCACAGGGTGGGGGGAAGTGCAGGCAGGAAAGTCCAGTCAGCATTAGAGGCCTCCTGTACATGGAGCTGCATACATGCATGGCAGAAGAAAGATTGTAGCAAGGATCCCATGTACACTAGCACAATGTTCTGGTCTTAAAGAGCCCTGCAAAACTCAGAAACATGCATGCTTTTAAACATGTTTATCTGTGCAATCTCTGGTTCAACACAGTGTTCCAAAGCAGGACAATTTAAAAGAGTCTAACTTACCTGTATCGTTCATCTCCACCACTTCAAATCTTATCAGTCCATGAAATATCTTTTGATATGCACCCTCCTTCTTTTTCTGTAATATGCACTCATATGTTTTGTTGTCTTCCAAACTGACATTTAGCAACACAAGATGCAAGCAATAATTTTCGAACTTAGTCCTATTCTTGTAACGTTCGCATTGGAATTCAGCAATTGAATCAGGAAGACAGGCAGCTACTACACAATCATCTTTGCCTTGAAGTTGCCATTGTACTCGGAATGAATCTGACAAGTCTTTTTCAGGATAACAGCATTTTAGTTCAACATATTCCCCTTGTATGGCTCTGGCATGCGGACAGTCTTTTTCACCACCTGCAGAGACTGACAAGACAAAAATTACATCACTCGGTTCTCAAAGACATCTTCAAATAATCCAGTTCTTATGGGGCCGTCATTTCCTGTCAATTCCATTGAATTTAACTGTTATAACACTGACCTGGGCCACACACATCTGCATGAGCCATCTCTCCCACATGGTGGCATAAGTCCTCTGGTCATCTTTTCCTGGTGCTGCCTGCTCTCCAGCAGGCGAGGACTTCTTCTAGGGCTGACATCAGCACACCCTGAGGTGGGGCAGCTTCCAGGGCTCATTGCTGCTGGTGGGACCCACTACAGATGACTATTCACTCGCCCATCTCCTCTGAGGTCTGCACTCACACCCTTCCCATTGTCTGCTTGTGAGTGCTTTACCACCTGAGCTCCAGCTGCATCTGCTGCCTAGTGCTGCTATAGAAGGGCCTGTGAGTGGTGCAGGAAGCATCAGCATTCCTGGTGGCCATGGTGTTTGCAGTTGGACCCCTCCTCCCACAGAGGGAAGCAGTTTGGTGCTTAGGGAGAGAGAAGCAAACACCCCTCTTCAATATCACCCCCAAATATATGCGCACTGCAATGTCTGGCCTAGAAATTAAAATGAAATGGAAGCGACCTGAGACTGAACATGGATGTCAGCCAGAGACAAGTCCAGACACATCTTGGCAGGTGAGACACAAAGGGTGACAAAGCCAGCGACTCTCCTCCCCACTCTAAAAGAGGTGCATAATTTAAATAATGGGTTTCCTGAAAAAACCTCAGTTCACCTTGACTTAATTCCATACCCACCCGTCACACCTTCCCTCATCCATTCAGCCTAATTTGTGCTATTCATACAACCTGGTAGTTTTTCCCATCCTGTACTCAAGGGTCATCAAGAAGCCATTAACGCCCATAGTCTAAGTGAGGTAAACCTATCACAGGTTTCCCAAGGCCACTGTCTACCTCCGAAAAGCCAATCAAGGCATTGTTCTGGGGCATATACGTCAGACAGCCCCAGGGTGAATTTTTCCTATAACTGCTAGCACTTTGCTCCGTAGCATGTGTGTGTGTTCTTGGCACCCTACATACACTCCCACTTGTGTGTCAGTCCCCCCTTCTCTTTGTGAAATGTAGGCCTTTTTGCTGACCTCTGCGGACCCCGTCTTCTGGACAGGTAAATATCACCTCTCCAAAATCTATTACCTGGCTCCTTCCTTATTTTCCTCTTAGCCAGTTTGTGTGTTTTTCTGCGTGTTGGTTTTACTTTTACTGTTTCATAATAAAACATCTTTCTGGTTGAACTACAACCTGGTTTATTTTGAGAGTTCTCTAAGGGAAAATCCTGGTATACATAGGTGGACATCCCCAGTTACCCGCCTCTCGCTCTTTCTCCTTAAAAGCTAATTCCCCCATCCAATCAGGAGACTACCAATTTGGGTAACAATGGTAGTGCCATTCCCATGTGCACCTATACCACCCAGCACCATCAGGTAAAGGAGTGAGCAGGCAGTGGGAGCAGCTGTGACTGTGAGTGATGGGGGACCTTGTGTGTGGATGGAAGACTCACAGACAGGTGGGGACATGCACATCGGTGGGCAAGAAGGGGGTACTAGTACTGGGCATAGGACGCCCAAACACTGTATGCCCAGACCTCACAAAACCTGGAACTGGCCCTGACTCTTCCTATTGTGTAGTGGGTTGACTGCGTGGCTAGGCCCACTCAGCTCCCATAACATGGTGCACGCTTGACTCTTACACAACTAAGACAAAGACAAACGGCCAGGAGGCCAACTATATTGGGGGGTTTGCATTTCCCTCCCTGTTCCTATTGGCTCCTTGTTGGAGAGACCCGGAGCCCAGTCCCATTGTTCACCCACAGTCAAGCCCTGGGTAGTCGCTGGCCCCTGGTGGCAACCAGTGGACACAACACTTCCCATGAAAATTAAGAGCCTTTTAGACTGTGGTTCTGGCCTTTTAGAATGGCTCACTATTGAACAGAGCAATCCTAAGCAAAGTTTCACTAATGGCCTTAGAAGTATTATGTGAATAACTGGCTATTGTAATGTGAGGTTTTATATATATATTATCTATGTTTTTATTTATAAGATAATGTATTTTAATTAATTATGTTAGCCATATCAAGCATGTGGAGAGACAGGAAGGAAGGAATTTATAGACCATTTTTCCATTTTCTTTCTGGATCATGAAAATTTACTTGAACTAATCAGCACAAGAACAATAATAAGATATGTGTGAATGGGGGAAGTTAGGTTCACCATGATGGGATAGGGTTGATTTTAAAGAGTCATCATTATATTGCAAAAAACATGTTTTGAGTGTAACAGACATAATGCGGCCACAACTTACCACCTTCCTGAATCAAAAGAAACAATATCCAAAGTCCAAGGCTAAAACAAAAAATAAAGAGACCATGTCAGGTAAGGTATTTCTTTACAAGTAATTATTAAATATCTAATATCCAGAAATTGTACAACTCAGCTGGAGAACCACCAGATACTGGAAGAAATAATATGGATGTTTCCACAGTGGTTTTCCCTGAAGTTCTCATAGTACTCCATGCTGTTTCCATAATTCTCACACAACACCCCTATAAAATATTCCATAATTTTAATCTCAGTGTTACACATGACAGGGAATGAAAAAAAAGACAGAGTGCAATCCTAAAAAGAGTCACACCCTTCTATACAGAAGGGTATAATTCTGCTTAAGACTGCCATTTCACTTGGCATACAGAGGCCATTCATATGGGAAACCTGCATGGCTTATGCCCATAATCCTCTCCCAGAGCCATAGAGCTGCCAACTGGGTCCAAGGTACTGGGCAAAGCAGCTGGGACTCAACTTCCTCCCAGGGCATCTGGCCAGCTACAACCTTCATCTCCCCCCCCCCCCCTCTTTGGCCACTTCCGCACTGTCATTTTTGTCACTCTTTTGTCCCTATTGCTTTGTTCCCCCCTTTTCCACATGTGTTTTGCTCCCTTTGGGACTACTAGAGAAAGCAAAACATATTGGGGGAGGAACCCTCCAAAGCAGTAGGGACAAACGAGTGACAAAAATGACAATGCGGAAGTGGCTTTTGTTTACTTGCATGCCAATGTCTTCACAGGTAGGTGTGGCTTCCCCCCCCCCCATTAAAGTAAAGGTTCCCTTGCTCGAAAGCCAGTCGAATCCGACTCTAGGGTTGCGGTGCTCATCCCCGTTTCAAAGCCGAAGAGCCAGCGCTGTCCGAAGACATTTCCGTGGTCATGTGGCTGGCATGACTAAACACCAAGGCGCACGGAACGCTGTTACCTTCCCACCGAAGTGGTACCTATTTATCTACTTGCAATTTCTTGCTTTCAAACTGCTAGGTGGGCAGGAGCTGGAACTAGAGACGGGAGCTCACTCCGTCATGCGGCACTTGGGTGTCAAACTGCTGAACTACTGACCTTCCACAGCCTGCAGCGTCTTAACCACTTGAGCGACCGCAGCTCCCCCCCCCATTACTTGGGCCAAAAAAGTTTGCCTATCTCTTAAAGATTACGAATATAGCTATTCCTGAGGTTCTCTCTCTTTTCTGCCAACTACTTTCCTGCTTATAATAGTTCATCATTCCTTCTTTCTTGTCTGTTGAAGGGGGTGAACTTCATCTGATGAAGGAAAGTGGTAGTTCAGGGCAACTCTACCCTGGTTTTGTTCCAGAGTAACAGTGATGGGGTACAATTCTGCTGAACTCACCTGGCCAAGGATATCCATTCCTGCAGCCTGCATATATATTATGAAGAAGGACAAGGAAGAGCAGGAGACTGGATTTATACCCCACCCTTCACTACCCAAAGGAGTCTTAGAGCAGCTTACAATCCCTTTCCCCTCCCCTCCCCTCCCCTCCCCACAACAGACACCCTGTGAGGTAGGTGGGGCTGAGAGAGCTCTCTTGAGAACTGCCCTTGAGAGAACAGCTCTGAGAGAACTTGTAAGTGACCCAAGGTCACACCAGCAGCTGCATATGCAGGAGTGGGGAATCAAACCCAGTTTTCTCAGATTAGAGTCTGCGCTCATTACTACTACACCAAACTGGCTATACATATAATCTCCCAATTCTCTTTCTATATGAAATGACTGCATTGATTCTGGCATGGGTCAGAATAACACTCTGTGTTTTGCACAGTCTTTCTTCCACTTCCATGTAATTAATCTCATGAGTTATTTCTGATTTTAACTGGAAACCAAGGTTCCAAACTCTAGCTTAATCCAGTTTAGCTGGAAAAACACAAGGAATAGGTGGAAACGCATGTGTACAAGTCAAAAGCACCACAGCTTGTTCATGTATTGGCATCTGAACCATGAAAGAATCAAATGCACTTAGGTCCCAGGGCAAGCCCAGAAGATGCATGATACAGCAGGCCTGTATTTAGCCAGTGTCCAGACAAAAAACCTCATGGGAGCCTAGATACATTGCCTTGGATTCTTTGATAAAAGGTGGGGTATAAATTTAATAATATGAATTAAATTGTCGTGTACAACGTAGGAAGAAAGTACACAAGATCCTCCATACTCATTCAGAGAGACTGAACAACTGTGCCTTGCTTTAATGTGGTAGTATTCTATGTATTTATAGAACTTATTTTGAGACAAGAAATATTTTCATTTCCTCTTTCATAATCAGTGGTGCAATAAGATTCATTTTCACACATCTAGTAACAAACAACCGTGAATTACTTCCCGATCTGGTTAGAAATATCTTAAAGCAATGACAAATACTTAAGTTCTTGTATTTCTAGCTCCTAATGTTTGAATGAAGCTGACCTATTGTGCAAATGAGTTAAAGACCAACTTTCATCCGTTTTCTAAGCTGCTCACAAGTGGTCCTGAAACCCCTTCCACATGCAAACAATATAATTCCAATTAAATATATATTTGATATGACAGGCCTTTTTAAATGATCCGAAGTGATATCAATAGATTTCCCTGAAGATCTTATTTATAAATCCAATGATTTCTCAAACATATCTCCTATTACTATACTACTTATAATCAGAAAAACATTAAGCCCTTCTTTACACACCCAGGGAAATGTTGATTGCCACTTTGGGGTCAGGAAGCAATCCTGGAAGTTTTTTGTCATCTTCTTGGTGTGGAACAGCAGTCACTGTGGGTGTGGAGGAGGAGGTATTTGTAAATTTCCTGCATTGTGCAGGGGGTTGGACTAGATAACCCTGGGAGTACCTTCCAACTCTTATGATTTTATGATTCTATGAAGCAAAGAATAAGCTGAAGACAGATTCATTCATTTATTTATCATGCACCCTTTATCAAAACTTCTCTCTCTTTTCCAGCAACATTTTCAATGTTGTTTATTTATTATCTATTTATTTATTATCAGATTTATACCCTGCCCTCCCAGCCATAGATCTATTATGTGACCCAAGTCCATGTTTACTTTTAGTTATTTTAATCATGACATTATCTATCTCAGGACAGATATTTAGGGTGGAGGCTGACAAATATTATAAATATACAACCCATATCTGATAAATAAGCATGGGTCCAAAGCACCTGAGGGATTGTCTCTGTTCATAATCTGCCCAGGGTTTGAGATTGGCCCAGTAGTGCTCTGTTGAAAGGGTCTGTATTGTCAGAGATGAGGATGGGAGGCGGTTTTTTCACTGGAAGCCCCCGAATTGTGGAGCTTGCTCCCTTTGGAAATGCGGCTGTATCTTTATTGGTCTACTGGCACAATTCAGAAACTTGTTTTGTGAAGTGTCTTGGAAGCCAGGCTGAGGTTTCAGGTACATGGGAATCCATCATGTGGTTGCTGGTAGGGCTCTCTTAGATGACTCCTATAATAAATCATCTTCTGCTTTTAATAGAAAATCATTTTTATTTTGATATCAGTTGTAACCTGATTCTATTCCATGTGCTTTACTGTAAACCTTGTTGGCGTAAAGAATGAGGTACAAATTACTTAACAAATAAAAAACAGAAATACTTGCATTTTTAGGAACACGTGGATAGCACTTTTAAATGTGTTTAGAAATGTTTGCTCTGTTTTTCCTGTAGAAATACTCTCTTAGAATTCAATTTTGATGGGATTCAGTTACACACAGAGTGTGATATAAGGATTCTGAAGCGCAGTTTTAGTTCTGCTGAGTTTTCTCACCCAAGTGGTTATCTTTTAAAGCCCAGTGTTCATAAAATGTACTGATAAAGCTTGAGCGCCTTCACACATTTCTTGTTCCAATACAAGAAACCTCATTGACTTGTGCTTCAAACATCCTGTCAAAGTGTGAAGCAGGGATTTCCCCTACGTATAAAGAGACATAGGCAGCACCCACATCAGCAACACACATATTTCCCATCCTCCATGTGGAAGATGCTGAAGACCCTTCTTTGGATATTAATTATATATCCAGATAAAGGAAACATAATCCATTCAGACTTCATGTACTGACAAACATGGTTAACATACAAAGCTGCTCCTCATTTGTAGCATATTATTATCATTATCATTGCCTCTGAACCACACACGTTTGGCAGGGGTTGTTAATGACCAGATGAATTTCTACCATCAAAACCGGGGGAACCAACACCCTTCAGGATCATTGCCCTCAGCAGCCCAGCTGACAAAGGGGCACAATTAAATGAATGTTACTTGGATCGTGGTGGCTAAGGAGTGTCAGACTAGGACTGGGGATACATGGGCTCCAGTTCCCATTCAGATGTAGTGTTCACTGAGCGATGTGGGTCCAAGAACCCCCCCCCACCCAGCAAGTTAAAAGTGAGAAACAGAAGCGGTGGGAGTTGCTGTCTTCTCTTCTCACACTGTTAAGTCTGAATGCAGGAATCATGCAACTGTCTTCCCCATACAGTTTTCCTGTATCGCGAAGGTCCTACACTGATGTGCTAAGAACTCACCATCAGAAAAAGAAAAACCTGTTGCTACAGCCGGCGCATCAAGCAGGAACCTGAATTCAGCCAAACATGTTTCAAATTGGGAAAAGGGGAGTTAACACCCCCACCCGCGCGCCGCAACCCTCATCCGAATTGCGCTCCCGCGTGCCTGCTATTTAACCGGGAGGGGGGAGCGAGATCGCCACTCACGGGACTCGTCTGGAAAGAAAACCGCATTCTACTCACCCCTTGGGTGCCATCCTTTCATGCCCACACCGGCGCCGGCAGAAAAGAAGGGAGCCTCTTCCACCAAGAAAGCAGAAAAGCTCTCTTCAGAGGGGAGGGGAAAGCAATCGAAACCCGCCACCGCCACGCCTCCCGGAGGGGATTTCCGGGCCGCCAGCCCCCAGCGCCTTCTCTGCCCATCCAGCAGGTAGCAGCGACCGACCGCGTGAGCTGCTCGCCCCGCTTCCCCTTGAAATCCCCACTCAGGATCACCGCTTGGCAAGGCAAGGGCTTGCGGCTGGGGAGAAGGAAGGGCGGCGCCTTCCCATGACATGGCTGAGTGGGCGAGTTCCTTCCCTTAGACGGCGGTGTTGTGGAAGAGCAGAAACAGCGGAGCGGCGTGTCTTGTTTCCTGCATATAAGCCTTCCCTTAGACGGCGGTGTTGTGGAAGCGATTACTGCCTCCCCCCCGGATACCTAGCACGGGGGCCTCTACTGGGAGGACTGCCCCACTTGCTGGTTTCCCGATTTGAAATCGCCCCTTGGAGCACCTATTAGTCTTGGTGGGGCAAACGGCTAGGTAGCTGTGTCAGTATCAACACTGCCTGTAGTGTCCAAGAAGTGAAGCCTTTCCCAATCGTTGCAACTACAGAAGAGGAAAATCTTCGCCTGCTGAATTTCTTCTTCTCCTGTAACTATTAAAAGTGGAAGACCCCCAGCGAAGGGTTGGTTTTTTGGGGATTTTTTTGGCCAGTGTAGCGAACCTGCTGCTTCAATGAAACACACTTCCAGGTTTTGTGTGCAGCTTAATCAGAACGTGCTTTGAGTGCTGGGGGAAGGGCGCGCGGATTGGCCCCGCTGGTTTGCCGTGGGAAGAAGTGCTGGAATTCAGCCACAAAGGAAGAACAGTTTTACTTTCGGCTCCGGCTAACAGCCTGTAGGCCAGTGTTGTGCACTCCAGCATAGAGTTTAGCTTTTCAGTGCTGCCACACACTGGGTTGACATTTGCACTGAGCTATCCACTATGCCTCCAAGAGTTGTTTCCCTCTCCATCTCAGCAAGTTCAGAACCCCACTTACATTACACTTCCTTTGTCACATTGTTGCCCAGCTATCCTATCTGGGAGATCCTCCTGGAGCTCTCCACAATCAGCCTTGGTTTTCACCATTCTGAATAATAGTCACCTGAAAACCCAACCACTACCCTGCTCACCCAGCCTTTCAGATCATTTATGAACCAGTTAAATAGCACTGGTCCCAGTATCAGTCCCCACAGCTTATTTTCCTCCACTGACAGAACTGTCAGTTTATTCCTTTCTCTGCTTCCTTTTGCTTAACCAATTTTTAATCCATAAAAGGATCCCCTCAATTATCCAATGACTGCTAAGCTTTGGTGAGATACCACGTCAAAAGCCTTTTGAAAGTCAAAGTATATAATGCCTACCATGTCACCTTCTTTTTTTTCTTTTTGAAAACACATGCAGGATTTCATATATTTCTATTTTAAAAAACAAAGTAATGGTATAAAGGGGATACACAAAGGAAAATATATTATAAAACAATTATGTGTATCAGAAATAGTTATATATCACAGAGTGTATAAAACAAATCATTTTCCCTCAACACCCCTTTCATTATATATTTAGGACACTGTCTATAAAATACAATGGTACTTACTTCTGTTAGGGTACATTTATATTCAGCATTTTAGATTTCAAATTTCATAACTAATCTGTTTTACATCTACATTATTAGTTTAATCTTTACAGCATATTTCGTATTACATATTTTGTCCCTTTTACCTATTCACTGTAACTTTTAACAAATAGGTAATATATCAAAGTATAGAAGGAAAATCTATTATCTCATAATAAAGTAGAAGATATTTCTGCTCAAGATCCACTTCCTTATACATTTATATTCAAGGTGTTATATTTAAAACTTTTTCTCATTCTTCATTGCAATACATTTATGTACAATTTTTGAACTGTTTTTCATTCTAAATTTCTTCTACTTGCATAATACACACTTCATCTCCCCTCAAAGTTCATAATTAATCTATTTCTCAAGTTGCTAATTTCACCATTACTGCATATTCCACAAGTTTATTTCCCCATTCCCATTCTTCTAAGAGTGGACAGACATCTAGATTCCATTTTGCTTCATATATCATTCTAGCCATTGTCACCATATATTTGATTATCTCTTCCAAACATTTTGGTAATTTGTTTGGAAATATACCGAATAGCATATTCGTAGTTTCCATAGGGAATTTAAATTTTAATATGTTCTGCATTTTTTCAATGTATTTCCTTCTAATTTTTGCTTTTTTTTTACAAGTCCACCAGATATGAAAAGGGTTCCATCTATGTCTTGGCATTTCCAAAAATTTGCTTTGTAGTTTTTGTCTACTTTCTCAATATCCTTTGGGGTTGTTGTTGTTCAGTCGCACAGTAAAGACTGACTCTTCGCAATCCCATGGACTACATCATGCCAGGCCCTCCTGTCTTCTGTCATGCTTCGGAGTTTGCTTAATTTCATGTCCGTTATTTATTTATTTATTTATTAAATGCATATCCCGCCCTCCCCCGTAGGGCTCAGGGCGGCTTACATGGCAAGAAATCTTGCAATAATAAAACATCAATTAATTTAGTAGCATTTAAAACATATTATACAATTTAAAACCATCTTAATACAATAAAGTGCTCAAAACCTCAGTTCCGGAACCTCAGAGAGATGACAATCACATCCAAACATCCCCGGTAGGCATTCCGTGTCCTCAATGTTAGATGTTGAATTCAGATGTTTCTTCCTTCCTTCCTATGGCCTTTCCCCACCCCCCAAGGATGGTAATGTATCGTTGCATCGACGATAACACTAACCATCTCATCCTTTGATGTCCCCTTCTTCTTTGACCTTAAATCTTTCCCAGCATCAGGGTCTTCTCCAGTGAGTGCTCCCTTCTCATTTGGTGGCCAAAGTATTTGAGCTTTGGCTTCAGTATCTGGCCTTCCAGGGAACAGTCACGGTTGATTTCTTTTAGGACTGACTGATTTGATCTTCTTGCAGTCCAAGGGACTCTCAAGAGTCTTCTCCATCACCATAATTCAAAAGCATCTATTTTTCAGCGCTCAACCTTCTTTATAGTCCAACTCTTGCAGCCATACATGACTACTGGGAATACCATTGCTTTGACCATACAGACTTTTGTTGGCAGGGTGATGTCTCTACTTTTTATTATGCTGTCTAGATTTGCCATCGCTTTCCTCCCAAGGAGCAGGCGTCTTTTAATTTCATGGCTGCTGTCACAGTCTGCGCCGATCCGGGATCCCAGGAACATGAAGTCTGTCACTGCTTCCATGACTTCCCCTTCTATTTGCCAAGGAATGATGGGGCCGGATGCCATGATCTTAGTTTTTTTGATGCTGTCC